ATATCTCTACATTTGTTGAATATACTGTAAGTCTGAGTAAAGCTCTGAATATTAAGCATTAATGCATTTATCATCCTTGCGTAATCTCTTAGGCTAGGCATTATATTACTTTGTTTCATCTGTTTCAAAAAAAGTCAGCAGTTACTAATTTTTCTCATGTTCTCAATATATTTGCTTTAAGGAATATTCAGTACTTGAACACATATAGCATAAGTTACCAGATCTAAAGGTATTTACTTCCGAAGTATGATGTGTGGCATTAACATTCTAAGCTTTGTTTACATCTTTTTCTAACTTTCCATGATGTAGTTATTTATTATTTTCACCACAAGAAACTTAAATTGTTACCTTACAATGTATAAACACTTTTTACATTATATAAATACTTTAAATGCAAGCCGAGTAATTTTCACATTTACTGTTTTATCTGGGAGAAAAAAAAAGAGAAAAAACATTCTTCATTCCCTGTGGTCTAGCCATAACACATACTTGACTGGGTTCTTTATGTTATTTGAAACTCTTTTAAAAAAATATTAATTTTTTACAATAACAATCTTTAGTACTTCGTGAACAGTGTGTTGTCTGGGTCATATATTTAAAATAATCAATGATAATTAATTTCTACAATTAATCAATATGTTGGTAATATATTTCTTGATCCTCTCTTCTTCCTGTAATATTCTCCTTTTGTCTACATTAAACAAATATAATTCTTAATATTTTCAATACAAACCAAGTTGAATATAAACATTTTTAGTATTTATGCATATAATAATATCAGCATATTTCCATTGTATTTATAAAAGTCATCTTATTAAATCATTATATGTCCTGTTTTCAAGATTCTTATTGAAGCTTAGTTTCCCCTCAGTATTCAAACCACTCTTATCAGTCATAGTTTTCTCAAAATTCATTACCTTTAAATATCCAAACTTTTCATTTAAATAGACCCTCTCAATGTTTTAATATTTCATATATTCTAAAAGTATTATATTACTCTTATTCCTCTTACTATAGGGCCCCTTTATAAGCTTTATATATTCTTTTGGATATATTCCAACAATATTTAATCCTATAATACACCATCTAATAATCTTTCAAATGTTATTTGAACTCTTGAAGGCATTATCATTGATATCATTAGTTATTATCTAGTATACTCCAAAGCAACTGTCTTCTTGGATAGCTACAAAGTATTTACAACTTTTAAAAATAAAAAACCCAAACAGTGAAAAAAACCACAGTACAACATAACTTAGACCAGTGTTTCTCAACCTTGACAATTTTAAGGCATGTGGACTTCAACTCCCAGAATTCCACAGCCAGCATTGCTGGCTGTGGAATTCTGGGAGTTGAAGTCCACATGCCTTAAAATTGTCAAGGTTGAGAAACACTGACTTAGACTGTGGCATAATTTAGAATTTTATATTTCTCATGTTTTGACTTACTTATTAAATTTGTAAAATACAATATGCTTCAACTCTGTTTTCCTTAAAGCTGTACTTGGCTATTTTTATGTTCTGCTGTTCTGTTAAGAATGCCCTTTTGGGGCTTCCAATGAACATGGCTGACGGTCCAGTCACAGGGGAGTTCCCTCTGGATCAAAGCTTCTTCAACTACTAACAAGAGAACCATGTTCCTTTTGTTTATATATTTTTCCTGAGTTAGGGAGAGTCCTAGAATCACCCCACAAGATCCTCCATACAGCAGCGGTCTGCAGGAAGGCTCAGCAGCTGTGCTTCAGAGCAGCCGGCGAACCAATCACTTTACTGTTAAAAAAGCAGCCATTTTGGAATTTAGTTTTCAAACAGACAATAAGTCATATCTTTCATTTCTTCATCATTTTATGGGATTATTATCTTTATTAAGCTAAAAGAGGCTCTTTTTAACCACAGCCTGTTACAATTTTTTGGAGATCTGCACCATTTTTGAGACTTGAGGCTTTTGAATTTGTGGCTGTAATGTTGTTATCTTCTACTGTGATAAAAAGAATCAGACGCCCATGTCTTTTTTTTTTCTTCTTCCCCTCCTCTACCTTATACTCTCTCCTCTTCCCTTTTTCTTCTCCTAATTTCCCACTATTTTCATTTTCCTTTGTGTTTTATAGTCTGATAAACTAATAAAAATTAAAACATGGGAAAAAAGAATGTGTCCTTTTAAAACCTCTGTTTAAATGTTTTATGACGAGCATGCAGAATTAGGATTTAGGTATGTTCCATTCTGCCATTTCATTTGGGGTCTGCTGTTGTGTGGGTGTCCAGAGGGCTTTTAAAAAGAAATCTCCAAGATGGAAGTTGTCACATAGTACTCCAGCCTTAAAACAGGTCTGTTTAATTTGGAATGTTGTTCTACATGCTGAAGATCTATTATCCTCCAGAGCAGTTTTGAGTATTGCAGATGTGATTAGTAAAAATTTCAACAGAATTGTGCAGACAAATATCCGTCCATAGATATTATGGAAATAGCAGCAGAACACTATTTATGTTAACTAATAAATTCTGGATCAAAAAACAAGCTAAACAGTAAATTAAGAAATACTGTGGTGGTTATAGTTTAAAATATATAAGACCAAATCTGTTACCATAACATCCTGTATATTTAAAAAATAATGACCAAGTTTCTATTATTCTGATTTAAATACTTCATTTAACTCTTCTTATTTTCTTTATTTTAGACAATTGCAGGAACAGCAACGACAAAAAGAGTTGGAAAGGGATAGGCTGGAACGGGACAGAATGGAACGCGAAAGGCTGGAACGAGACAGACTAGAGCGAGAGAGGCTAGAACGAGAAAGGATAGAAAAAGAAAGACTGGAACGAGAACGATTAGAACAGGAGCAACTGGAGAGGGAGCGTCAGGAAAGAGAAAGACGAGAACGAGAATGGCAAGAACGCCTAGAGAGAGAGAGGCAAGAACGGGAAAGACAAGAGCGGGAGAGATTGGAATGGGAAAAACAGGAAAGAGAGCGGCAAGATCAACTAGAAAGAGAGCAACTGGAATGGGAACAAGAAAGGAAACTGTCAAGTGCTGGTAAGAATTTCAAAAAATTTAAAATGCAGATTTCTGATTAGTTTGACTCGATAAAGATTAAAATTATTTCCCAATTACTTGTAAGTAACCTAATTAACAAAAGCAGTTATATTCAGACTATTCTGCTTTTGAAATATAAAGTATTTCAGTATGACTATATTCATATTCAGTTTTTAATGTAAAGTATCTGGAGGGATTGTCATATCTCAAAAAATGCTTACTTAATGTTAATTAGTAAGCAAGTAGTCTTTTCACTTAATAAGCTACTCTCCCATTTTCTGCACAAAAACTATAGATTCTATGCTTTAGAATGAATTAGGATAATTAATGAGAATGAACTGTTATTTATTGAAAAAAAAATTTTTTTCCTCAGAGAATTAAAATTATAAATATTTGCATTGTGTCAGATTTCAGTGTTCTCCAAATTTTATTTCTTTTAAATAGTCAATTTTGCAAAAAAATAATGCTCATTAATATAAACACAAATTTTCTGGCTGCATTCTGTACATATTGTACAATCAGGCATGCAATTAGGAAAATCTCATAAAAAAAGAAAACATGACACTTGGACAACATCATGGTTGCTGTGCAGATACAATTTCAGTAAGACTAGAATTCACTTTGTTCCAAAATATCTGTACCTTGTCCTTCAAATAAGTATATAAGTCCTTGGTTTTGCTATTCAGTAGTTCTGTTACTAGTACTAATCCTACTGCCAGAATTTAAGATCTCTTGCTTTGTTTCATTTCAAGTGCTTTATTTCTGTTACTGGCTTCTTATTCTTGTCTCTTTGTTTATTGTTTTCTATTCCTTTTCTCTTACTTGTAGCCTCCTCTGTCAGGCCCAATAACAAGGCAGCCACTTTCAGCTTTCAGTCTGGGCAATGTAGTTTCAGGGCCTAGAGGAGAAACATATGATTGAAGTTATTTTCAAATCAATTGGACATACAGGGGAAACATTGCATGTATGAGGCAATACGAATGATAAACTAAGCTGAAACTATATATACTATATATTTAGAAGCTATATTCTCTGGCTGTTTTATTTACTAATTTGATAACAAAAGATACATTTTAACAGCTAGTTGTCTGTAATTGCATGAGAAGCATGAGAGTTTAATAATGTTATTAGGCTGATCACATGAAGATTTTTTCTTAATTTTTTTGGCAGCTATATATATAGTATTTTAGATTGTGTATTCCATGGATGTAGGCTGTATTGTCAGTACATAGTTGATTATTACAAGTTTTATGTGAACAGAAAATTGAATCAGACTTGTTTTGGGAATGTTATTATGCAGATTGCATTCTTTCAAAGCTTTTTGTTTCAAAAAATGATTGCAGAAATCTGCAGTGTGAAACTATTTTCAGTTTTCAACAGAAGTAAATGTGTGTGTGAATTTTCCTTTGAAGTTGAATGGCTCAGGGATTTATGTGGTGCAAAATCTAACCCATATTTTAGAATGATAAGAACAGCTTCTAGGAGCTAGCTATTATTATCTAGTCTTAACCTGGCCATACTATATACATGGAGTTTGTGAAAACTAATTAAAAGCCATAACTAAAATAAAATACAGTTTAATGTTTGGATGACTGTTGGCTTATTTCGACCGTTAAACTGCCATAAATTTTAAATAGAACCAGAGTTTTTTGGCTGTTATTGTGAATAATTCTGAACACATAGTCATGTGAAGAACTCAGTACACCCCATCTATTTTTTTTCTTTTTTTATACATATTTGAATATAGCAATATTTTATTTTCATTCAAACAGTATATAAAGATAAGGATGGTATAATTGAATTAAAAATGGACTTTGCAATCATTTATTCAACAAAAATTGACATATACATCATTTAATTCTGTGGAATAAGTAAGTACTGTAAACTCTTGGTTCTAACAACTGATATTGCCTCTTGGCAGAAAAAAAAACCTTCAAGTTGGTATTTCTTATAACTACCAGTCTCTGACATTGACTGGGAGAAATTTTTTCCCACTCCTCTATGCAGATTTTTTCCCCAACTATGTGATGTTTGGAGGGTTTCTTGCATGCACAGCCTGCATGAAATCACACCATAGCATCTCAATAGGATTTAAATCCAGGTTTTGACTTCACCATGTCAGAACCCTCTATTCCTTGTCTTTTTCCCTGACCATTCTTTGATGAACTTATTGGAATATTTAGGGCCATTTTCATTTTGCAAGGTCTACTTTCAGTTGCTCTCAAATTATCCTCAAGCACACTCTGGTATAATGAAGGATTCATAGTGGATTCCATGATGGTGACCGGCTCAGGCACTGAAACAGCAAAGCAGCCCCAAATCCTAACATTTCCACCACTATGCTTTACATTTGGTAAGGTTCTTTTGGTGAAATGACATATTTGGGTTTTGCTAAACAC